AACTGGGATGCTTAGATACCTCAACGGAACCACTACACCAAGTTGAGCGACAAAGGCAAACTCCCGCACTAACAGAACTTAGTGGCGAAATTCAGTCCAAATCCGAAGTTGCTGTATAGACACGTTAACAGTCTCAGCAGAGTGAAGCGTGCGATCCCAGTATTACGTGAAAGAGATGGTCTAGCGCACACTACAAAAGATGCGGCCGACTTGCTTCGCCAACTCTTCATCCACAGTTTCTAGAGTGAATAATCGTTTCACCCTCTTTTGACACAGCTCTCATAGCCACTAGAATCAAACCACATATTGTTTAGAGCAGCCAATGTGATGAAAAGTCTAACGTCATTGCGCGTGCGCAGCTCACCTGGCGTGCAAGAGATCAAACCAAAGGCATTGAAGACAGAGTCCATGAACCTTTGCGATCCATTAGCTCAAATCTTACAATGTTATCTCGACAAAAAGCAGGTTCCCACAGTGTGGAAACATGGACTAATCACTCCCATTAACAAGTGTGGTAATCGTTCGGAGCCCTCGAACTACCGTCCAATCACGCTCCTCCCAGTTTTATCCAAAGTAATGGAACATCTAATTGCAGAGGCGCTCATGGGATATCCTGGGAGCAACAACATCCTAGTGTCAAAGCAACACGGATTTCGTCGAAATCGATCCTGCACTACAAACTTGCTGCTAGCCCGAGTAAGCTGGACAGAGTCAGCCGATGCCAGAGTGGGAGTTGAAGTTGTCTACCTGGACTTCTCGAAAGCGTTCGATCGTTTGCACCACCGCATTCTCCTTCGCAAGCTTCGAAGCTATGGAATCGGTGACTTTGTGTTTGGTTTAACCGGCAACTTCCTCGCTCAACGTCAGCTGAATGTGAGAGTCCGCAGCTCCAGTTCCGACCCAATCGACGTCCAGTGTGGCGTGTCCCAATGACCGGTACTGAGGCCAAGTGTATTCCTCACATTCATTAACGATCTTGCCAGTGTACTGCAGTTGAATCTCTTACTATTTGCAGATGATATCAAACCTTGGCATGATATCAGGACCTCGGATGATCACATGGCATTGCAGGGCGATCTCGACAGGGCTTATGCGTGGTCATCCGATAACCGGCTCCAGTTCAACGTGGCGAAGTGCAAAGTCGTGAGCATACGCCATCAGCTTATCTATGAATATCGACTTGGGGACCAGCAGTTGCAACGTGCTTCCCAGGAAAGTGACCTCGGGTTGATCGTGCAGGACGATCTTGGCTGCTCGAGACAGGCTGAAAAGGCATCGAAAAGAGCCAGTCAACATCTTGGACTCTTACGGAGGGCTTTCGGAAATTTCGAGCCATCAATCTTTCCGCAAATGCTGAACGCCTACGTGAGGCCCCACGTGGAATATGCGATCCAGGCCTGGCGTCCCTGGCGCAAGCGCGACATCAATGCACTTGAAGCTCCACAACGTAGAGCAACCAAACTCGTTAGAGGATTGTTTCATCTCTCCTACCAGCGCAGACTGCAGTCCCTGAGATTGTACAGTGGTGAATATCGACGTCAGCGAGGAGACCTCATCATGGTTTACTTAATACTGACGAACCCCATTCACCCATGCCGCAATCTGTTGCAGCTGAGCCAAAATACCAACCTGAGAGGCCATCAGCTCAAACTGGCTACGCACTACAGTCGACTTGACTGTCGACGAAACGTTTTCTCCCTCCGTGTGTCCCGTGCCTGGAACGCCCTTCCGACTCACGTCATCCTTGCCCCTACATTAACGCTATTCAAAAAACGCCTTGATGACACGCTTTCCAACTTGCATTATTTGATGTAGTTTGTTTCACTCGGAGGACGAAATAACGCGAATCAAACCATGTGCCTAACGGCCCTCTCCGCAACGTGGCGATGAGGATACATGCAGAAGGTCCTTGTGAGTAGCATGGATGTATCTAAACTGGATTAATATAACGCATCTGTCAAATGAAGCAACACACGAGTGAGCGTTGTCGTTTCCTTTTTTATTTCTCACGCACTTACTGAACTATAACAGCTCTCTATACTATTTTGTGTGTGCACATCCCATTCCCATTTCAAACTATCGTTATGCAGTAGTGCATTTAAATCGGTAGACGATTAAAATAACGATTTACTTATTCGATGATCTTTTCAATTTTAATTTTTACTCCAACCATCCTACGGGACTTGTCAAGCACATGCCTTTTTTAACCGTGATAAAATATTGTTCATGGTTCATTGTACTTTACATATCCTATCGTCAGTTTCAGCTAAAATTTCGTTTAATTCACATGCTTTGCTATGAAACTGTAATCCCCGCGTACTCAACGTTCGCCAGCAATAGACAACAGTCGCCCAAGGGTTTGCAGATAGCAGTCATTGACCTATCTGAACAAATGACCTAGTTCTATCAGCGTTGTCTAGGCGAACCAAAATTTTACGGATGGGGGAAATTAGGGATCATCGAGCCTATTCACAAGTGAGTTAACCTTTTTTCCTGTACTTTCCACAGTTATGGAGGCAATCATCACAGATATAATGATACGCTATATACAAAAGCACTGCATAACAGCATCGAAACAATAGTACAGCCAACAAACCCGTTAGTTCGACGCGGTAGCTGGAATGAAGTAGCCGATGTTGGCGAGAGATTCGATGTCGTCCACCTTGACTTCTTCAAAGCGTTTGATAGCTTCGAATTCGCTTCTACATACTTCAGAACTATGGTAACAGCAACCCGATATTATATTGGTTTGGCAATTTTCGGCCTGAGTGTCGCTTGAAGGTGAGAGTAAGTATTATCTGTTCGACGCAACTGAGATCGAGTGTGGTATGCAACAAGGCTCGCTGCTAAAGCATTGCCTATGGATGATTTTCATAAACCGTCTATCAAGTACGCTTGCTACCCATTTCATATAATTCGTGGTTCTACCAAGATATGGTAGTCAGCCAGAGGGCCGGATAACCACCAAGGGCTCTAGCACCACCATGACGTCATTCCGAACTCGTCAGCTCCCAATATCCGGCCATTCAAAATGGAAGAAAGGTCGGGTTGTTCAGATACACCACAGACATTTAAGTTAATAGACTTGGGGCACACAGCTTGCAGACCAGTTCACATGAACGTGCCTTAATGTGCCAATGTAGCATGAATTCAGCTGTTTAAAACAGTCTGAGGCAGCTACAAAAAGAAGCAACCAGTACATCGGCCTGCTGCGAGAGGCAATCTATAGTTCTGACCCATTAATGTTAAGTGCACCCTCACGTCGAATATACAACCATTGATTGAAGCACGACCTCGCGGTGCTATAGATACCACAACGCAGGGTAACGAAAAGAGTCAACGGTCTACGCAACCTCTTACCAGCAAAAGCTTAGGGTGTTGGAAGTGTTCAGTGGACGCTACAGACGATACACGATTTTATATTAGTGAACCAAATACCGGGTAACCATCATCAGCATTATACACGTTAGCTAGAAGTGGAAAACACCTCAGCTACTGTGCCGAAATACAAAAAATGCAACTGATGCATGTCAACTAATCTATCACTAACGCATGGGCATCTTCCGAAAAGCTACCAGCCGGCTACTAGGCAACAAAAAACTGTTGTGTAAAATTATGCTATGCTAAATTATGAGCTCGTGGTTGGTGGGGAAGGCTAAACGGGATAGGAAGGACAAAGAAACTCACAGCACGAACGCCACTGGGGTCGGCTCCTAGCCATGTCAGCAAGTGTATCGGGCAACCCCAATCACATTAACTGAAGCTCAGCCAGGCTATCAGGCACATAAGAAATCAATTGACAATGCGCGAACAAAGCATCCGTCTAGATGTCGAGGAAATGACTTTTGTTTTGGGTTTACCAATCCACTAACTCCTAAACCAAACTCAATTTGTTTCCTTCCTCACTTTGGGATTCATGAAAAAACGAGTGAAGGTTATTTTTAGCTTCCCTCACTGTGCTATTGTGTGACATCTTCATAATTTGTACATATTACACGGATACAAGGTGGTGGTGCACTAGTAAACAGTTTTAATTCACTCACTATGAGGCTCCAAAATCAGAATAACGACTGTTAATCGGTGTGTCAAGCCCTGCTCGCGAAGCGCAATCGCCTGCTGATCATGGCGATAGCCGCCAACCACTATGGGCCTAGTTACATTCCCGGATAAGGCTGGCTGACTCGCGGACAACCCACCACCTGGTGGCAGCTGAGTAATTCGGGTTTACCCGTTCCAGCAATAGGTTTGGCAGCAGCATTCCAGGACACGGTGGGTTTTCACCTGCCGAACTTTCTTTGTATAAAAAACCACGTGTGTTTAACAATGTGGGACTTATCGGTGGTGACTGTCCACAGACTCAAGTCACTGTCCCTTGCTTATCTGGATAAGCACATCCGATCTACGGACGTCAAGCATCTCTCCTCACATTGGCGATGCGATCCAACCGTCAAAAATGCAGCGACACATTCACAAACACAAGTATCACAGCTACACACATACACACCTTCATACATAGAAATACTCACGTATATCCATTCACTGTTATGACAAATTTATTATCTATTTGTACATCTGTCCATCACTTGTTGCCCTCTTGCCACGATCATCCCTGTACAGGCGCGGTTTGCGATGAGGAGAATAAGTTATTTATTCAGTTCTATTTGCTCAATCCAAACAATAACGAAGCTCGTCCTGGGATGCAGTGATAGGAGGAAACAGCACAGAAACTCTCCACTCTCGCAAAAAACTTCAAGCATGACTGTTCTCTACAGTTTTACTTGCCAACATTCAATTCCCATCACACACTAACGTGTTGCAGTAGCGCACTGAAATCCATATGCGCTTAAATTGAGGAGACGCATATATCTTGCGTTTGATGTTTGCACTCTATCGATTTCGTAAGGCTTGTTGGGCACCTGCTATTTCACTGGTGATATATCACGAGTGGATCCTGAAGCCTTGTGTGTTTTTATGAGTGGTATACTGGTACGAGCACTCACTTTGGAGTTATAATTGGCCTTTGTTGGTCTTCCTCGGAGGGCAGAGTTTCTGTGGCAGGTTCTGAAACGTGAAAAAACGACGTGAATTGAAATAAGGCAATGCTTGATGGTGACGCAGTAGGATGTCTTTCCCAATGTTCTTTAGCAGTTGGAATAGAGTAAGACCTCGCCAATCCCTCCACTGCCCGTCAAAAGTTAAAAATCCATCTTTCTGGCTTGTAGTTAAGCCAGAAACCTTAATTATATGATAAAGAAGCCTTATTCCCTGGCCATTACCAAAATCTTTGGGCCATGTGACGAGGCAACCTACCACAGAGAAGCGAAGATTACAAATAGGCCCCATGTGCCTGAGGGTTTTCAGACGAGTTTAGCTGTGGTGAACTTCATTAAGTCTATCGGAGTTTGTTTACAGGCGAGTTGATTACCATCAAAGAGATTGTCAGACCTAGATAGTTCAGATAGGATTGCATGAACGCTCTGTTCTCATTTCAATTGCTCTTCCTCTTTAAACAAATTCAAGCAAAGAAAACAAGATGAAAAGTAAAGCATAGTATAGGAGGTTTTTTCTGTTTTTGATGGTGAGAATAACCCAGTCAACGAACTTAGTTTTTCCTAGATTTTGACGTTCATCAACTCCACTGCAGTGTGATAAGGTAGCAACATATTCACACGGCCCATCAGTCTCGGGTCCATACTCCCTACTGCGTATGTAACAGGCCAAATAGCGTCATAGAATAAGAACGTGAGTTTCATAACGTGCTAAATGTTAGTAGATTCGTTGTTCTGTGGAGTTAAACGGAGTCTACATAGAAGTTCCAACGCGCAGCTCGATAAGTAACAAACGCATTAATTCCCTGTTACCACACAATCTGCTCTCTAGGCCACTGCGACTAGAGAATCGCAGGAAAATGTGAGTTACCTATCGTACGTTACTTTGAATCAGGCATTGGAAAGGTCACCACTGGCTGTGCGGGTCAAGTTCATATCCATTACTGACGTTCAACTAGACTAAGTTCTGTACTGGGCTCTCTAATTCCAGGTGTATAAATAGTGAAGGAATTTTCGGTATGGGTAAATTAAACCGAAGTCAACTCCATATGAGCGAATTAAAACTTCCAAGGGTTCAGTAGCGCGACGAATTACATACACGAAACGCAGCTAATTGCACATAGTAGAAATCACTCTCGAAATCACGGGGATCCAGTAATGCTTGAAGGTAAATACAACTGAGTTGCTACTGTAAAACCGAAAGATGATCTTGTATGCGTACAACGGAAGGAAAAGCAATAAATTGGCCGTACGAAAGATTCCAAATGAATCAATAGCCCATGGATGAAATCCCCAATGCGGTGATGTGAATATATGAAACTTCTATGGAGAACAATCGGTTAATAGTGATGACTGTCTGCACTTGGAAACTTTCGGTTGCTAACAGCAGTTTCAGCCTTAAACAACGCAGAATTATTAAGCACGGTTAACTAGCCGGTGGTTCGTGTTACAACCACCGTGATAAATGGATGGAGAAAACGAATTAATTGGCGAGCACAAACCAATCATGATTTACCTTGATTGATCACAGTCAAATGAACTGCTGCGCGGTAATTCAGCTATCGTTAGTTAGTTAGTTCCACCGTACAGTCCTTGGGACGGCGGCGTGAGAGCCCATGGTCAGTTAGGGCTCGTTGCGGTGAGATTCTGACAGATAAACGACCAGTTACTCTCGTTTTGCCATGTTCTCCTGTTCTAAACACATTTTCGTGGTGACAGCTAGGGTTACAAACTTGCGATAGCTAAGAGCCAGGATGTATCAGTGTGAGTCAGTTAGCTAATGGAGATTACACTTTAACGAGTCTTTTTCCTGTTCAGATATGGACGCGATGGCAGTAGATCATTACAACTGTTAAAGCTAACAAACACGAATACTGATAAATGCTTGATGCAAGGCCGTCGCGCAGCGGTAGAACAGGACCGCCTTATCGACAGCATACATAAGGGTGGATCAGCAGGAACAGACTACTGATGATGCTGCCTTACATAGTCTTCTTCCCCTCCACATTCTCCTCTACTAACCTCCATTCCAACTGACCTATCTTACCTGTCCCAAACAGATTCCCATCCTAACTCATCACCCTACTGATTGCTCAGCGCAGCCTTATGTCTTCGAGGAAAGCGATCAAGATGGCATACTGTGACGAGCGCATTATGTTGCACCGGAAAACTGATCGGCACCCTAAGCGACGTAGTGCAGTGGTCGCAATGGAATTCGGTCGCTACGGCATTAAGATTGCCCTACTCAGACAGACTCCTCTTGCTGCCCAGAGCAAGCTGCACGATAAAGGCAGTGACTACACATTCTACTAGGCGGGAAACGCCACCGCACCAACACCTGTAAGTACTGTCTGATTCGCAATATCAGATCGTGTAAATGGCCATCTGATGGAGGAACCGACTGTTAACACAATGCTTACACCTTAGTGGAGCAGCAGAAAGGTCTTCTGATAGAAGTCTATACCTTTAGCTTATTCTGTTCAGCTTAAATAACTGTACAATGATATTTGGTTCTACCTAAACCTCCAGTGAGTTGGCTACCGTTCACGACATTGAATAAATACAGATTCCTTCTGAACTTTGTTAGCCTAAGGACGCTTGATGATGCGCGATAAACTGATAACGTGTGCTTGTATTTTGAGTGCAACTGCCTGCTCCACAATCGAAATTCGAATAATTCACTATGTGTATCGTTGGCAGATGCACTCATCTGCGCGTGACAGTAAGTGCCGCCGTTAGTGGGAAAAATTCAAAAATGATTCCATTCATTCTCTAAGTAAGATTAGTCAGCTGCTATTCCAGCTTCCATGTACCGAAAATAGTGAGAAATTCGCAGGATGTTCTGTTGAACGTTGGTTTCCAATAAGTTTGATCCAAAGGTATCTAAGCGAATTCAGTGGTTACCGCGCATCATGGTAAAAAAGAAGTAATGGCATGTCACTGAACGTACGCAGAAAATCATATTCAGCGAAGCGTGCCAGAACAACAGTGGCTGTGAAGCCGTCAGTCCAGCTTTTGGCGCGAGCTGATTGTCCACGAGTCTCCTGACCCAGCCAGTTTATTCGACAATATTTTAACGTGATAGACGATGTAGCGCAAAATCACTACATGAAATGCATGTGCACTTGTCTTGATGAAGCAAACTAAACAGTATTGAAAAACTGATGGTGAAGAAATGGCAGTAACTGAGATTTTAAAAGACTCCGCCGTAATTTATCATTTTTCTCCTGAGTAGAATGCGGAAACTTTGGTCTATAATAAGGCAGCATAACATTTTCTCGAATGAACTAAAGATGAACTATGGGGAAGGGCAAGTGCTTCACCCAGTCTAGATGTGCTAATCCGCATACTGAAGTCTAAACTAGTGAAATTTCCACCTGTGTTCTATGGCTTCAATTTAATCGTATCAAAACGACTGCGCCTATGAGGATATGAAATACCCGCTTCCTGTTAACTTATAACTTCTATCCAGAAGGGCATGTATGAACAGGAATATAAGTACAGTGGATACAGTATGTGCAATGAATGGGTGGAATGAGGTTGCAAGAACACCTTCGACCGTTAGCCACCTTCTTTTCGAGACCGCATTCCCTTTGCAGACGATGGTCTGACCATCGGTTGGGTTGACTCGGTCGATCGCGCCTCCTCTTCGCCCATCCCTTCCATTGTGAAAACATTTCTGCTGTCCGGTCTTACCGATGCATCTTGTGGTTGAACGGACTGTCGCCCACTGCAATCAGCAATCGTCCCACCGGTAGGACCGGGAGTGGTCTGTAAAAGAAAGTGAAAAGTTAGGTGACTGCAATGGTTAGAGTAATTCGGCGATGGTTTATGATGGGTACAAAAGTAAATGCCTGACAAGTCCCGTAAGATGGTTTGGGTATGATTACAAAAAAGTAGCGTTGGTAAAAGAACACGCGCGATACAAGACTTACCAATGGGTTTGGAGTGGCACATGCGTGAGTATTTCTGCAGGGAGTTCAGAAATACAATGACACTGGTCACGCTACATAGGCCGTACCGAGTCGCAATCTACAACACTTGGAAAGTACCGACAATCGCAGGACCCTGCAGTAAGACCTTGAGGCAGAACCACCGAAAAACAGAACTTACTCGTCCTGCACAAACACATGAGAGTATGTTGTATTCCAGATTGCGGGAACATGTACCTAAGAGCGAAATTATCCAGTCTTCCGCTTTGGCTACCACGTGTTCACGAAAGTCGCCTGCCTCCTCCATAGGTACACACTTACTGTATACTTGTTATCCATTCGACTCTATCACACAGTTCACAACCTTGTTAAGACATGTTACCACCCGCATTCTACATTTCGCCGGGGCTTCCGCGTAAGCTTCCGTAGGCTGCCGTGTTCGTAAGCTTAAGGCTCACATGGACGTTTGGGTGGCACATCCGCACCCCATCGCGTCTGTATTTGCTCCCGTCACACCTTCATCATCATTATCATCTGTACACGTTAGCTGCGGGTGAGAAACACAACACAGCTAATGTGTTGAAATGTAAAAAGATAAGAGGCTAAACTACTTATGAATTACACTACAAAACAATACGATGTTAAATATTATATTCTGCGTTTCGCATGAGACCGGAATTGGAGAGGGAACCGAAAAGGAGGGGGTGGACAAAGAAGATCACATCACCAACGCCATTGGGGCCGGCTCCTAGACATATCAGCAAGTGTGTCCAACCAAACGTGTTCATCGTCTTTAGAACACCAGCCAGGCAGTCCGGATGCACCAACCGAAGCCAACTTCGAAGTGATGGTTTTCATTCCCCTCGAGAAAGTCATCGCTTGGCCTCGCCTCCTTCTCTTCCAACCGCACCTATGGCGCGCAAACAATGCAAGTCGCGGAAGTCGGTGTGCTGCCATGCACAACACGTGGCCCAGCCATCGGAGCTTGGTGCGTAATATAATGGTGCTGAGCCATTCACTCGCTCTTCCTACACCAAATACGCGACGCCAAACACGCGCATTGCTCACGCGGTGCTCCCACCGTTGCGAAGGCAGCGATGATCAAATGTGACAAGCCTCTTTATATCTGTCCACCTGATGGGCCACGTTGCACAATCATATAGGGGAGCTGAACGAACGGCTGTGTTATAAACTCTGCCCTTCAGGGTGAGAGTAATGTCGCGTCTGCGCCACAGGTGGCGGAGATTGGCAAAATCACCTCTAGCTTTTTCTATAAGGTTTGTAACCTCATCTTAGATCCCTCGGGCCCTAATGTAGCTGCCCAGGTACTTGTATTCCTGAACGACTTCTAGCAGATCACCATCAAGTGTTAGCGCTGGGGTGGTCGCTGCTAACATTGGAGAATCGCTTCGCACTTCGATGGAGCAAAGCATAGCCCAAAACGATAAACAGCCAGTGCGAATTGACCCAGTGCTACTTGACATGTTTGGGAGCTGTCACAGATTAGGACAATAACGTTCGCTTACTCCAAGTCAATAAGTCGCTCACCAGGAAGTAGCTCCACGCTTTCTAGGTCGTGTCCAGCGAATGCTGTTTCCATGACTTCATCAACTGCGAAGTTGAGTAGGAAAGGGGACAACGGGCAACCTTGTCACACACCGCTGGTGATACTGAAGGGTGGCAACAGTTTGCCACAGATCCGCTGCCGGAAGTATACGCGTACAGCGCTTTGATAATGTTTACATAATTCTCAGGAACACATTTCCTCAGCAGACAGTCGCAAAGGGCAAGTCGATCGACTAAGTCGAAGGCACCTTTCATGTCATGAAACGGGACAATGGTGGGTCGCCAATAAACACGGCGGTGCTCCAACAATTGACGCAAGGTGAAGATGTGGTCGATGAAACCTTGACCTCGACGAAACCCTGCCTTCTCTCAACGGATCTGAGCTTCACGAGCGCCAGTCAGTCTGCGGAGCACGACAGATGCAAGCAATTTAGAGCACATTGAGATCACACTGATCTCTCTATGGTTGCCGCATTCCGAACGGGAGCATACGTTTTAAATTGGGACAATGACGGAGCGGCTCCAGTCTGTCGGGACAGTCTCCTGCTCTCAAGGTTTCACTAGCAACTCGCGTAACTCATCTACTAGAGCAGGTCCCCCGAATTTGAAGAGGGCTGGAGGAATTCTATCTGACTCTGCGAGCTTTTGCAATTGCAACAGCCTGATCTCAGGTTCGACTTCGCGCGTGAGGGCGTTGCCAAGGAGACGGCCCAGAGAAAAGGGCGCTCAATTCCCCGAAAAGTAAGCTATAACTCTGGTTGGTTAAACTGCCTTGCAAATTGTTCGGTCAAACGCTCCAAGCGTTTTGACAGGCTGTGGATCAGATGCCCACTCCCGTCGCATGTGGTCTCACTTACACCAAGTCTCCTGCTGCCTGTTCCCCGTATCAGACGGATTAACTTATGACGATTACCAAGGGCAGCGGCTGTCTCCAACTCCGAGGCACGATGAGACCACCAGACTTCGCGGTCTTTTTTCAGGATAACATACAGTTTGACCCGGGGTTTTTTCGAGTCTTATTGTATCCGATTGCAGACGGAATACGTTGGAGAGCATCCATAAGTTTCAGAGACTGTGAAGAGACCCAATATCCAGTTTAGCAATTTGATTTGCCACATGAACACAAGCCTACCGATAATAACATTTGGCGAATATGCATCCAGTGATCTTCGACGGTGTTCGGTGGGCGCTTACTCAGCCCGGATGTCAGCGCACTTGGATACACCTTCAGAACACCTGGCCGCGCCAGCTGGCTGGTGTCAATCCGTTCACGCCGACGTTGTGGACATCCACCAAAAGGCGCCCGGAAGTCGACGCAAACAAGTGCGTGGTTAGACTCCACGCTCGTGTTCCAAATCGAGCGACAGTTTTATACACAGCCGCTCCAGCAGTAACTGATCACAATATGATCGATTTGCGTCCATAGCTGGTGCGAGGCTGCTGGGCATGAAGTCACGCTTCTGCGGCTGCTGTGTCGAAATTTTGTACTTGAGAGAAAGAGACGAGCACCTTTACACGCCTGTATCAATCGCTTACCGTTATCGTTATGGGAGCCTACACCATGTTGGCCGCCAAGATGAAGCTCATCCGAGGGCAGTTTTCCAACTTGGGCGTTTAGATCGTCAGCCAACACCACAGTATCCGTGCTTCTTCTGTAAGGAAGGAGATAGTTAGGTTTCTGATAGAAATCATCTCTCATCGTAGCAATACTATAGTCTGTAGGGGCGTAGGCCGAAATGACAATCAGCCACCGTTTGTTCCCGCGCGACTTCGTAGTATGGAACGAACCAGCTAATCTAACGGTGCACATCCGACTGTTGACTGGGATCCAATCGATCAGGGAAGGTTCAGCCCGGGGACTCAATACAATGCCGACGCCAGCTTGACCGGCATTTGAAGCTGCATGATCGCTAGACAGGAGCACACCTTAGTTACAGATATATGTATTTGTGTGTTATTGTATTGACACTGACAAGACAATACGATGTTTAACATCTACAGCTTTCGTCTTATAACAGCGTTGTTTAAAATGTTCAAGGATATTATGACACCGTCCACTGTTGGTTCTGCACTAACGACATCATCTGATGGTCACAAACTATATCACGTCAGGGCGTTTATTGTGTAGATACCAGGTGGGAGGCATTAATTCCGTGTACTGCAATGGCGTTCCAGGGCTGTGATACTGGGAGGGAGAAAACGTTTCGTCAATATTCCAGTCAGCTGTACTGCGTGGCGAACTTAAATTGATCACCTCCCACAGTGATGTTTGGACAGTTTCATGTGTGCTTCGGGTCTTTTAGGATCTGACACGCCATTATGAGATTTCCCCATAGACACTGATAACGTCCGCTGTATATTTTTAGAGTTTCCAGCCTGAGTGGGTAGGTGATGCGGGACAAATACTTGACCTTAGTCGCGCGACGCTGTTCAATGTCGAGCGCGGTGAGGTGGTGTTTCTGCTAGGGAAACAACGCCTGGATAGCGTATTCCGCATGCGCCAAACCTCTTCGGAAAGGCTGATGCCTTACGAATGACGCCATTTTAGTCTGCTTCAAACAGACATGGTCACCTTGCATGAGTGGGCCGATACCGCACTCATGAGAAGCATACTGTATAATTTGTGTCCCAGACCGGTAGTTCTGATGGTGCATGCTGAGTACTTTGCACTTGGTGGCGTTGAACTGCAACATGTGTCTGCTTCATACAGATCATTTTTAGGGCTGTGTGAGTTTCCAATCTAATGATAGCACGTCATATCCTTAGACCATCGATGAATAGTAGGGAGTTTGAAGTTTTCACTCACGCGTAATCATTTTTATGGACCAGGAACTGGTTAGGCTGGAGTATGAAGCCCTGAGATATGCCGCACTGGATTTCGATTGGTGTTGCGCGCAAACAGACTCAGGTAACCTTGAATAAGGAAATCGTCTATCTAGCCCAGAACGGAATCACCAATTCCATAATTCTGAAACATTTGAAGTAGAATGCGATGATTAATACGGCCAAACGCCTACGAAAAATCCGGATGAACGACATCTACTCTTCAACCAGCATCTACAGACTTCGTCTAGCTTGCACGATCTAGCAACAGATTAGTAGTACAGGACCGTTTTTTGCCCAGTTCTTGCTGCTGCGGGATGAGAATTTTTATTACTCTCCAGCTACCCCATGAGCGCCTGGGTGACAATGGACTCCGTGATTTTGGGTACCAAATGAACTAGTGTTGTCAGGCAAGATTTTGCTAGTTCTGCACGGCTACCACTTTTGCAGTTTGGAGTAAATAATAATAATGTGCCAGCTGTACGCCGTAACGACGCTTTGCTGCCGCGCGACCAACACCAGTCGCGCGCGGGTTGAGTATACCGCGAGGACGCCCACCCCGACGCGGATTCGAACCGGTGACCTTATGGTTGCAAACCAGACGCGCAGACCACTCGGCCACCGGTCGACAACGTGGGACCTGCATATCGTTAAGAGATCGCTGAAATACTATTGCTAACAGGTCACGTAAACTCATGGTAGTAAGTTTCAACGACTCCGGGCGAATGCCGTCTACACTCGGGAAGCTGTATTTGCGCAAGGGCGTCAGACGTTTCAGTACAGCTGTGGTTGTAAAGGATAAGTGATTAAGGACTGAGGGCGGTGTGATATGCATGGGCAAAATTCAAGATGGTTCCACACTTTGGAAGTTGCCGCTAAATTGTTCTCCAAGAACCTTGGCCGCATCTTATGCCGTTTGTACTAACCCGCATGCTGTGCGCAAAGCAGGAATTCAGCGCTAACGTGATGCATCAGCTTTGGATTAGAGCAAACATGTAGTACAAGGTCTTGTTGCTTCTTGACTTTATTCTCCAAGACGAGTTTGTCGCAGTGGTTTTTTGTGATGTTGTCCACGCTCGAAGAGACTATGTGGGCGATCCATGTCTGGTCTCTTTACGTCATGCATTTTCAAGCCTTGCTACTTAGAAAGACTTAAGCACTATTAAACGGTAAAGTTTGGTTTCAGATGTGCTTGCCCCCAGTCTGTTGGATCTGCTGACAAATTCCTCGCGGACCAGCTCAGAGGACCATTCGGCTAGGAGAGACCAGTGTGTTACACCAAGTAAATCGGACAGGGCATCAAAGTTGATTACGACATGATAACTTGGCAAATTCTTTGGTTTTCTACATAGCACATGTAGCGGAACAGTAGTGTCACGTGATCGCTGCGACCCAGAGGAGTTCACGTCGTTACTACGTCGATCATGATTTCCTTGTTGAGAAAAACAATGTCCACGGTGGATGGTTGGTTTCCTGTCTTGAAACGCGCTGAAAAGTTGCATGGTCGCAAAGCCATAAACCAGTGATTAGCTGTTGCAATTCCGCACTGTACTGCTCATCCAGAGTGGCCGGGTTTCCAGGCCGTGCAAGATGAATTCCCCTACAAGGAGAACGGGGCTGTAGGATCGCGCCAGTAGGTAATTCATATCGGAGACTACGGCCTGGTCCATTGCTAAAGTGGACATTGTTGGGCGGTATACAACGGCCACTAACCATAGATCGCCCTACCTTGGGTGTAGGCAATACCATAAGGCGGCTACTGTTTGAGTCTCTCGAGCGTTTACGCGGTAGATGCGTAGGTTTTAACGGAAGTAAAGAATTACATCGCAACCCCTGGTGGGCTGGTCAATGCTTAAGAGTGACAAACAAGACAGTGAGATCCCGGCGTCGATGACAATCATACAGTCGTGTCTCGATTGCCATGATGAATTACCAACACATTGAGGTTGACGAATTTAAATCGCGGCCAAATTACTGAGAGGAACTTGCGCGTTTGTATACAAACAACTGAGAGCAGCTGTTAATGGGGACCGACCGTCCACACAAGACCGCAGGTGAAAGTACACAAGGCTAGGGCACGCTTCAATCAGCCACAAACGCAAGAAACATTTAATGTCAAACCCTATAAACTGTCGACATTCAATCAGATCATGTTCCGTTACTGACCCATGACCATGTCACATTTTGCCTATTCACTCGTTTTCAATTATCAACCCTCATTTTCCGTTACTGGCCCAAGGGTCAATTTTCTTAATTAAGTCTTGCTTACCAATTATCGTTAAAATCTCATTTCATCAATCGTTGTATGTGAGCAAGGCTCGGTTACGCAGTAATTGCTTGGTCTAGCGAGTAAAGTACCTAGGACGAAGGGACTATATCTTGTTCTTAATTCTCTGGGTTGGAGTGCGTGTGAAGTCTGTGCTCCCTTTAGGAAAACACGAATTGTGCACTAGAACAGTCCTATGCCCAAGTCTCTCAGGTGGTACGAAATCGAAATGGCTGATACTTTCTGTGCAGGATACCATTAGGTTTAACCTTCGTCCGTCCCCGTAGGGGCGTACCACTCGGTAATACATACGGCGTGCCTAGGAACTGTTATAACAGCAGCGGATGCCATGGCGCATCTGAACATACAAACATTTCTCGCGAATTTACACCAACCCTTTGGGGCCGGCTGACAATAGTAGTTTTGTTGTATTTCCTGCCTACAGCACAGGCTTTGCCTGGCTGTTGCATAGAGCACCCACCACATAATCGTACAGAGGCAAATTGCGACTGAACACCTGTTCCCTCCTCTTCGGATGGCTGCGGAGTTGCACTACGCCACGGTTCGGAAACGCAGACAGCCTGGTTCGCTATGAAATCTCGAGGTTTTATGTTTCCTTAGCCAACGTTGGCCTGGCTTCGACTGCACTCAGTCGTATCTGCGATGGAGGTGGTGTCAAATTCTGAGTACCATTTTAATCATTTGTTTGGAGTAGAGCAGAAGGTTTAAAGCCATTGGACCCCATCCTTTATATTTGGGTAATATGAGTAACCTGGACGCTGAGTTGGCTATCACATGGTAGGATGTTGATCGCTAAACGAGCTGCAGCTATCAAACGGAGCGTCGAATTCGCTGGATAGCGCTAGGAGCACTCTGACGAATGAGCGTACGAATGAGATCCGCACTCAAAAAATTAGGTTGACGCACGTCTAGATTTTTGTGAAAATACCGCCGAAAGTGCAGTAATAGACGAAACGATGCTGTGTGCTGTAGTGGTGAATCCACTGGATTGTGCTGGTAAATCCGAGTTGGAGAAGTGTAACACAGCAATGAACGTCGCGAATTGTGATTGGTAAATTCGAAAACAGAGGAGCGTCAAGTCAGTACGGTCACATGGCAGGACATCCTTTAAATGTTAGGCGTTGACCGCCCGCAACGTGGCGTTCCGTGAGCGATTTCGTACTTGTCTGCACTTATCCAGTACAGAAAATAGGACTGATACTCGAAAAAGCCAACATCCATCTCAACGTTTTATTCACGGTTCAGCTTATGATTTCGTGTCCCAATCCCTTCACGCAACGAGCGCTTCAAATGGATCCACAGACAGAACATCTGTTGGTATTAGAACACAGCTAGACAAGACGGCCTACATTCTCGTGGCAGATCAACTTTTGCTGTTTGACTCGTATTAATGCGAACCATGTTTTGTTTGTTTAGGTACTACTCACAAATCGTAAAGAATATTTGAGAGGTGTTGCTTACCTTAGGCTCCGTAGCCTGGATACTTTCGCTATCCGCCTCCTGATTTTTTGGTCGCGTTGAGGTTTTTCGTGTGCTGATGTTGTCAACTTTGCGCTTTTCCCTAGCGAATTTCTTCTCTTGCTTATCCTCAATATCCTTCTTGGTATCAACACCCGACGGCTTGGGCTGGTTTTGTGTAACGTGCTTCGTCGTATCTGGCCCAGTTTTACCTTGTTTCTCTGGTGCATGTTTTTTATTCAACTGCTGAGCATCACCACGCTTCACACGCATTACACAGTCATCGTTGTTAACCTATAAAAGCGGGTTCGTTATGGAAATAGGTTAACCAACCCCTTTGTTCACAATATCGGCGAGAAGATATAGCATCTCGTTGGTTTTATCAGGTTCCTTTCCGGCGATAACACTCATAGTTCTTACCGGTATAACATAACCGTGAACTATGGATAAATAATCAACCAATTTTTGTAGGAAGTTTAACTTTGATTCTTTGTCTTTCACGTTGTCTGCATTCAATTCTTCGGGGCTGAAGAGTCCTTTCATCAATCCTGTGGCTCTAATAAACTTGAAGAGTCTTTGTGAAAATCCCATTTACTGCTGTACAAATGTCGTGTAGAAAGCGAAAAGGAGGGCGTGAAAGCAGCTTATCCGTGAGCGTTGGCTTTTTGATTATATTTCCCAAAGTCTCTTGGGTACGTTTGATCACTTTGGGGTCCACTTCCATCTGAAATTTGCAGAATTATGCGCATATTTATAAGTGTCGATAATGTGACTCGTTTAAAAATGCGGCGTCATAATTCGATTGCACATACTTAGCGTTACAAAGCTTGGTCGGTCAACTGTGCAGATACCCTAGATTCAGCATTGTGAACAGTGTAAGAGAGGTTACCCCTCTGACACCGGTGGTCGTATACCGTTAAATGTGGCTTGCATGAACTGAAGCCACACGGTGAAACCAAAACTAGTGAAATTACCATCTATAAAGCGTGTTACTGACTAATAAACCGTGGATTTCGAGCAACACGTAATATCTCCGGGAACATCCAGAACTCCGGGCCGGAAGTGAGCTACGCAGCAGTTTTAAAAATTCAGGAAAACAAGTTATAGACTAGGCTCAACCACATCCAAGCCACAAGGTGGACAACAATTATGTGTCCATAATGCAGTCGGCAGTCGCGTAAAGCCAAACACGGTAGGTCTTAACTGTGTTACTACCGATCACATAGCCAACTAAGAAAGTTGTATTCAACTGCAACTTAAAACGAAGTAATCGATAGTCCAAGCAGTCGGTCCGTAATAAACGTTAGTATTGTTGAGAACGCGACGTGGTGCGGACCAGTGGTTAGATATCATAATAGTTTGAAAATGGAAACTCAGGCCCAATTTGCTCAGTTTCCTCGTTGTACCTTTCCAACTCGCCATTCTGCTGCGTCTTATTACTCACAACGTATCGACAGGGGTGGGTTTCGCCATTAGGCATCTTTTGACCAGCAGTCTACGAGTTCCTTGATTTCCCTGCGCCCCCCCCCGTTTCTCACACTTTTGCCATTCACTGCCCCCGTAGCTCAGTGGTCTTAACCACAGACTAGCAACCGTCGAGCCCTACAAGGGTCAGATGGGATGCGTACCGTTGACTATTCCCGAAAGGTTGAAATGGCCGTACAGTGATTTTCATTGAACGATCTCTAAAAATCCCAAAACGTTTGAGACAATAATACTAAGCTCAGAAGCCAATGAGACGTGTAAGAGGCCGCTATCCGCAGCGAGCTTTGACAAAGGTCAAATCGTTTGTCACCCATGGCGAAGTGGCACTAGCTGCTGGCATCCGGAAATCATGGGGAACAACCAGGCAGGGTTCCGGTGGAAGACGCACCAATGACGAGATCAAGAAGTTCGTATGGTGCTTTTTCAGCAGAACCTCGACCACCTAGCATGGTGGTCGGCAGAAGTTGACCTACCAACCAATTCGGCAAAGTCCTAGTTTATGAGCCTGGGGAGGGGTGGTAATGGGCGTGCGTACACCCTGGCTGGCCACCCACTGCATCCCACCGGCTCCGTAAAGGATGTTGGCGTTGTGATAGGAAGTCCGTCAGCAATGCAAACGGACTACGACTGCTTTGGGCACTTAGACGCAGCTTCTGCACTTGGTTCGAAGAGATTGCCACTTGTCTGTTCTCTTCCATGATAAGACCGGTGTTGAGTACGGCTCACCCGCCTATTGTCCGATCACAATAGGTGAGGTGCAGAGGCCGGAACAAGTTCAGCATGTAGCTACCCGACTCAACCCCAGTTTACGGGGTATTCTGTACGAGGACCGATGTAGGAGACTAAGGCATTATAAACTGTCATATCGTCGACCTTGAGTTGATCTCATCATGACGTACCGGATACTGCACCTGGACAACTTCTCTACATTTAGGCCACTGCTGTATGTATGCGCACCAAGCAGCCCGCGCGGACGCCGGTGCCAACTTATGGTACCGGATTTAAAGCGCATCGCTCACCCTCCATGCGTCAAGCGCACAGTGTTGAAATTTTGGAACAAATTGTACAATGAACAATGATTTATCACGGGGAAAAGCACGTGCTTGACAAGTCCCGTAGGATGGTAGGAGTGAAAATTAAACTTTGAAGGATCATCGAGTAAATTGTTATTGCAAGCATCCACCGAGTTAACTGCACTACTGCATAACGATAGATTGAAGTGGGAATGGGATGTGCATACGCAAAGTAGTATAGAGTGTTGTTATATTTCAGTAAGTGCGTGAGAAATAAGAAAGGAAATGACAACGCTCACTCACAACGCTCACCACTGTACAATCTCAACGACTACAGTCTGCGTTGATAGGGCAAATGAAACAATCCTCTAACGGGTTTGGTCGATCTACGTTGGGGAGGTTCAATTGCATCGACGTCGCGATTACGCCAGGGAAGCCAGGCCTGGATGGCATATTCCACGTGAGGTGCGATATAGGCGTTCAGCATTTGAAAAAAATTGAAGGCTCAAAATCGCCCAAGGCCCTCCATAAGAGTACAAAATGTTGACTGGCTCTTTCTGATGCTTTTTCAGCCTGTCTCGAGCAACCAATGTCATCCTGCACGATCACCCCAAGGTTGTTTTACTGGGAAACGCGTTGCAACTCCTGGCACCCAAGTCGATGTTCATAGATAAGCTGATGGCGTATGCCTACGACTTTACACTTGGTCACGTTGAACTGGAGCCTGTTTTCGAGTGACCACGCGTAAGCCCTGTCGAGATCGCTCTGCAATGCCATGTGCTCATCTCATGTCCTAATATCATGCAACATTTTGATATCATCTGCAGATGGTAAGAAGTTCAAATGAGTACACTGCCAAGATCGTTAATGAATGTGAAGAATAAACGTGGGCGCAGTACGGATCCTTGGGGCACACCACACTGGACTTCAACTGGGTTGAAAATGGAGCTGCATACTCTCACATTCAGCTGACGTTGAGCGAGGAAGTTGACGGTTAAACCAAACACCAAATCACCGATTCCATAACTTCGAAGATTGTGAAGGAGAACGAAGATCCCGCGCTGCACTCTGCGGAGCTTGTTGACGTGACTATACAGCAGCTTCGCATTTGAACTGAACTTCGCTACTAAGTGCTGTTGGTGCTGGAGTTTGCCTTTGCCGCTCAACTTGATGCAGTGGTTTCGTTGAGATGGCTAAACATCCCAGTTCAGGTAAGTTGGACAGACTCTGTACGCGCACCACTCTGAATCCCTTAAGGCCATGCATTTTCTAGTACGGCTCCTCAGGAAGGCGTTCACGTTCTTCAAGTGAAAGACTGCTTTCTGACGCATTTGCCACTAGCTCGATGAACAGGGTGACAAACACCATCCAAGCGACATCGAGCGGCTTCTTGATCAGGAAGGACCAATCGGAATCTTTAACGAAGTTGGACAGTATATCGTAATGTGTATCGACATGGTTTTCCATGTTTTTCCCACTGCTGTGCTCCGAGTAACTGATGTAACGAAAGAGCAACATGGCGTGATCGTTATGGCCAAGTGGTGCATCTATGGTCACGGTATCGACCATTAGTTCCTCAATAGAGAGCACAAGGTTCAAAGCAGAGGGTGTGTCACCCCTTTGGAATCGAATGGGAGATGTTGCATGAGTGTATAGAGGTACATCGGCGAACACCTCTTGCAAGTCAGCCTTGAATCCTTCGCTGTGCGATGCTGGAACTTTGATTGCGTGCAGGTAGAATTCCCCCACCAGAAGGACGTGACTGTATGGTCGTTTCAGGAATCGCTTCATCGCAGAAGCTAGGCACCGATCCATTTCTAAGGTGAATATTGGAGGGCAGTAAACTATTGCTAGTAAACACGCCTCATCTCGTCTTAGGTGCATACGACATCAAAGAGCGTCGGGGACGTGCGTTTCTGGGTCCTCAATGACATCAACATGCAGGTCGGATCGATAATACAGGAGCACTCCTTCTTCTCTTCAAGGTCGATCGTTTCGTATGAAGTCATGCCGAGTAGAGCAATCTAAGCATCCGTGCAGCTGGGTTTCCGTGACCATAACCAGGTCCCAAGTTGTGGAGACATGACGAATACGAAGTTCCGTTAGTTTGCTGAGAAGACCTTGTGCATTGGTATACAAACAGGTGAGGGCATCGATGGTCAGAAGTGTGTTTTTGAATGCTGGTTTCCGGTGAGTGCCTATGCCGACCCTTGGGGGTCTGCTGCCGGTCGATTTTTTGTAAGGTGGATGACGCAGGCCTTAGGGCCAATTCAGGTTGTTGTATAGAGCTCTCAGCGCCAACAAATGGGTGACCATCTTGTCCACCTTCAGCTGTCTGTGTGTTTTGGTATTGTCTCCTTCCTGAGCTACACGGTGACGAATTTGTATTGGTAAGTTGCTTGCTCAGTGTTACATTGTCTATTTGTGGCCCGTTACCTATCACCTTTATACGTAGTTCGGATGGCATCATTTTGCGCTTCGTGTGCCACATTTCGATCACGTGTTCCGTCATCAGTTCGGAGTGCAGTAATACTTTCATTACACGGGGACCACACCCTTTGTAATTAGGTGATGACGGTAACGTTGATGTCGAATTAGCGATAACATATTCGAGTGAGCTTACTTCACTAATAAAACGCCATTCATCCCAATCATGCGCTTTGGCCTCTAGCTCGCTTAGGGACTGGAGATCGGGGACACCGTAAACAAAGATAGATTTTGCATCTTGTTGTTTACGGAAGTAATTTGGATGTTGTTTGCGTTTCTGGAGTTCGCTTCAGGGAACATCTGGGAAAATGCGGACAGTGCAAGTGATGGTACGGAGACGATTGGCTGACAAGAAAACTGCCTCTGCATCATTACATGACTGAATTGTTAACTGGATTAACCGCGGTTCACCGTAGTGTACGGAGTTTCGGTGACGAACGAGACGCATCATATTGACTGGTTTATCTTGTATCCCTATTAGTTGACACAGGGAGTCCCCTCGTTTTTTCGTTTAGTATCTTATCTTTTATAGAGTTCGCCTCGGATTCAGTCAATTAGAGCATATAACAGTTAGAGAATTATGGTGTTGTTTCATGTTCTCCTTTTTGGAGGGACCAGTGGCTGCTTTCTTCGGTTGGACAGCTGATGGGGTCTTGAGTCCCGTGGTAGTATTGGCAGTAGTAACTCGTTTGGCAGCGGGCGGGGTTGCAATGGGAGGTGACTCCGTCATATGGGTAGT